CTGTAGTATACGGGCAGGCCTTAGTACCTCGGGGGCCTGGCAGGCCCCTTAAAGCCTAGAAGAAGAGAGGGGAGGGAGAGAGAGAGAGAGAAGCGTCTTAGCTGCTAAGACGCTTCTTTGCTGAAGAAGCGTCTCAGCTCCAGCTTGCGGCCGCGAAGAAGAAGCAGAAGCAGAAGCAGAAGCAGAAGCAGAAGCAGAAGCAGAAGCAGAAGCAGAAGCAGAAGCAGAAGCAGAAGCAGAAGCAGAAGCAGAAGCAGAAGCAGAAGCAGAAGCAGAAGCAGAAGCAGCAGCGGAAGCAGCAGCGGAAGCAGAAGCAGAAGCAGACGAAGAAGAAGAAGAAGCAGAAGCAGAAGTAGAAGTAGAAGAGGAGAGAGGGAGGAAGAGAGAGCATTCGTTGCCTTGTGACAGGAGCGCTCGGAGGCCTCCTTACTGGCCGATGTTGAAATCTTCAATTCCGATGGCCAGCTGGCTGCGCGTTTGGAGGGGGCCAGCTGCAGACGAGCAGACCCGTCTGCCACGCAGGAGCGTGATGGTTCCGACGACTGCCTGTGGCTGGGATTCACTGGTAGTTGGCAATTATTACGATTATTAGTATTATTGCTATTATTAATTATTATTATTATTGTTATTATTGTTATTATTATTACTGTTTACAGTTATTATTATTATTGTTATTGATATTATTGTTATTATTATTAGTAAATTTTATTGAGAATGCTTGTTAGTTTTCGCAAGCGAGCGCACTGGCAGCTGCCCCTTTCCATCCTTATCACGTTCATCGGGTGCTGCAGGTATGACATTGACTGGAAGGAGGCTGCGATTGTCGGCAACTCCGAGGATGCGACGAAGACCGCCCTTCAGGGTGCTTCGCTGGTCGTGTGCTCCGCAGGCTGGGTGGCCAGCAAGATTGAGCCTGTTCTCTGCAGAAAAGCGCTGCTCTCTGAGGCAAGCGCGGGGAGAAGTTGATCAAGCTGGTCGGACTGCCCAATGCCAGTGCTGTTCTCAGTTGAAGGTCACTGCATTCGCGTTCTAACAATGCCATGTTCAAGCCTCAGGCGTTGTAGCCTCCGTGGATGATGCGATCTCGGCGATCAAGGCTCGTGGCGGTCAAGAGACTGCACCGTCTGCCAAGGAAAAATCGCAGCAAACTCGTCTTGCAGTGGTCGTGTCGTGCTAATGAACATCCATGAGCCGCTCAAAAACAGCAGCAGAAATATCAACAGCACCCAAAATTCGCTCTTTCATTGGGATGCTCGTGCGGGCCTTGGCGGGCATCGGAGAAGGAAGGTGAAACAGATGACTATTTTCTGCTGGCCTGCAACGGTATCAACAACACCACCAACGACAGCAACGACAGCAAAAGCAGCAATGTCGGCAACAACAGCAGCCACAGCAACAGCAACAACAAACGGCAACGGCAACGGCGACAGCAAAGGCAATGGCAATGGCAGCAGGAAGTGAAGCAGCAACAAAAACAACACACCAACAAGTAAACATACGAACAAGTAGGCAACCAAGCATTTTGCTAGCAGACTAACACACACACACACACACACACACACACACACAGGCAAGTCGTGGTCGTAGTCGTAGTCGTGGTCGTGGTCGTAGTCGTCGCCGTGGTGGTGGTGGTGGTGGTCGTGGTAGTAGTAGTAGGAGTAGTCGTAGTAGGAGTATATGATATGGTAGCAGTTCGTAGTGGGAGGAGGAGTACGTGCAGGAGTTTTCGCGATTGGTGTGAGCGGAAGCGGGGATCTTGCCAAGACCAGGCCGGGGACGCAGCGACGGTGGCTTTGGATGGCTCTGGCGAACAGCTGGACTCCCTGGATGCAGCCTTGCGGCTTCTTCAGGCCGCCGTGGCGGCTTCGAATCCTCCGCACATCCTGCTTGTCACAGGCTGCTCGCACAAAAGCTCGAACTTGGATAGATTGCATGCTGCTACTCATGGGGACACGCGTGGACCGAGGTGGTGCACAACCACCTGAGATCACAGATGCTAGTCGTCATGATCCCGACCATGCAGGTGGGGGCAAGTACAGTAGCAGTAGCACTTGTGCGAAGTGATAGCTGCAGAATTTGGGTCGAGAGCCCCTGTGCGACTTTGTCCTGCGTTCCCATGATCGAGCCATTTGCTGGTTGCCGAGGTCTCTGGGGTCTGGCAAGGTCTGCGCGAATGGAGACCGACCTGAGGGTGACGTGCATAGATCTCAACAGCAAGGACTGGGAGAAGACGGGCGAAGCCGGCGGTGACACTGCGGCCTTCTGGGCTCCCGTTGAGGGAGACTTGGCACAGCGCTCCGCCGTGCTGGCAGCCCGGATAGCGCGGAGCTCTTCGAAAGCTCAGAGGCCCTTGAGGCTCCACATGCCGCGCCGTGGCAGCTTGACGAACCTCCGCCCGGTGCCGCAGAAGCCGGTCTGCACTATGTGGGAGGCAGCATGCGTCAGGTCCGAGCCTTCTAATTACAAGGGTTGCTGGCCAGCGCAAGCCAGAGCCGGAGTGTAAGGACGAAGAGACCGGTGGTAGACGACGGGGAGGTTGAAGTGCGTGTGGAAGCCATCGGCTTGAACTTCAGGGATGTGCTCAATGCGCCCAAGCTGCATTCGATTTATTGAAGCTCCAAGCAGAGGCCTAAACCCTAAACCCTAAACCCCAAACCCTAAACCCTAAACCCCAAATCCCAGCCCTAAGCATGAAGTGCAGATGCCAGGTCATGGGCATGTACCCGGGAGACCCAGGAGATCCAGGCCCCTCCCCGTTGGCTTGGGGTTTAGGCTTTAGGCTTTAGGGTTTAGGGTTTAGGTTGCCTGTGTGTGGATATACACGCGGAAAAAAGCATACATGTACATCTATCTTTCAAGCTTTCAGTCTATCAACCTATCAATCTACCAATCCATCCATCTATCTGCCTATCTGTTTACTTATCTATCTATCTATCTGTCTATCTGTCCGTCTGTCTATTTACTTATCTAGTTTTGTACATCTATGTGACACACAAGTTATCATATGTTGATGCATATACATACGCATATACATACACATATACATATACAAGTACAAGTACAAGTACATATACATACACATATACATATACATATACAAGTACAAGTACATATCCATATACATATACATATACATGTGCATGTACATGTACATGGACATGTACATGTACATATACAAGTACAAGTACAAGTACATATACATATACATATACATATACATAGACATAGACATAGACATAGACATAGACATATACATATACATAGACATAGACATAGACATAGACATAGACATAGACATAGACATAGACATATACATATACATATACATATACGTATACATACACATATACATATACATATACATATTCATATACATATCCATATACATATTCATATACATATGCATATACATATACATATTCATATACATATACATATACATATACAGATACATATATATATATATATATATATATATATATATATATATACATACATATACATATACATATACATATACAAGTACAAGTACAAGTACATATACATACACATATACATATACATATACATATACATATACATATACATATACATACTACACATACACAGGAACAGGCCCAGGCACAGGCGGCATATGTGTATCGCATGGGGCAGGTGCATAAGTTCTACACTACAGACAAGATGTGCAAGGAGATCAAAGGTATCATAGGTACATCAGAGGAGAGTAGAGCAGTGTTTCGGAAGACGTGCAGGATGTGGACCATGCAGAGTTTGAGGATCTAGAAGGTACCTGGGAAGATAACAGGCGCAGAATAGATGTGTGGGTGAATGTGCAAGACTGTCGAAAAGACAGGCTGTATCTCATATCAGAAATGTTGAAGAGTGCTGCTAAAAACACATAACACAGATGATTTTCCAGGAAACCAGACAGGTTTTAAACATCTTACGTGAAAGCCACGTATACCGAAAACATAGACACACGGGCCTGGCAGAACATGAGCGCTTGCTGGAAGAGGGCAACTGAACTCGCAGGTTCATGGGTAGTTAACGTGGGGTTATAAGCAGGCAACTATAATTACAACTCCTTTCAGGGGGCTTAGAACCCCCACTTAAAACTACCCATGAACCTGCAAGAACGCAGACACAAGAGCAAGCAAAGATCCGCGAGCTTCCATTCCGTGGACGGTCAGGTTTGGACTGCAGCGGAACTGTGGGGAACTCAACGACTGAGGGGTGTTCGTAGGCTTGTTTGTGTTACTGTTCCAAATAACTTCGGTCTTAACTTTTCCTTGTCTGTTGTTACTGTTCCCAACAACTTCGGTCTGAACTGTTCCTAGTCTACTTGGGATTTTTCTCCCAGCGATGACTCTTTTGAAGAAGGAAGACGGATGATTGTCATAATGTTGACGATGACATGCTGGTGATGAGAAATTATTCTGAAGATCTGAGTTATCACAACCGTCAGGGTGACGATGTTGATGACAGTCTTGATCGCCTATCACCTTATCTTCAGAATCACCATCACCATGACCATCACCATGACCATTACCATTACCATCACCACCAATAATATTATCATCATCATCATTAGCACCATCATCACCATCACCACCATGACCATCATCACCGTCGTCGTCATCATCATCCTCATCATGATTGTTGCAGTTCGTCGTCTTCGCCTTCTTCGTCGGCGTCGTCGTCCAAGTCGCCGTTGCAATCGCGGATGGAGGTCGTGGTCGTTGTGCTCGTCGTCGTCGTAGTGGTACAGTGATCATCAGCCGTAGTCAGGAAATGGTGGTAGACTAGTCAGACTCATAGCAGGAGTGAGTGGTGGTAAGGAGAACTGTTTTCGTGTGTTGCGCACTACTCAGATGAGATGTTAAAGTTCATCATCATCATCATCATCGTTTACCATCGTCATTGCCGTTGACATCCTGGCTTGGCCTCAACCCGATACATGTTTCGTTCCGAAGCGGAGTGGCTTCATCCAGGTAGTCAACATGAATGTCAGCGGCAAGAAAGGCCAGCGGAAGACTGTGCTGTTGTTCTGCTTCTCATGGTTGCTGATGCAGTCATCTTTTTCACCAGGCGAGCTTTCTTGTGGAGACGACGCCTTCGGCATCGTCTGGGGTTGCCTGAAGACATATGTATCCGCCTTAGTTGTTGCAGTGCTGCCGGAAGCGGCCTTGAACATCACTGACTGTGAGGCCAAGACCCCATGGCAGCTGCTGGTGCCTCGGCCCAGTGCCTGGTCACCGGCAGCAGCGGCTGCGTTGCCAACGGTCTACACCACAGTTGACGTGGCTTTTGCAGAGTTGGCGAAGCTGAAGAAGGGGGAGAAGGCAACCGCACTCTTGAAGCACCCACAGCCGTCTTACATGGGAGTCATGTCCAAAGCTTTCGGCTGTGACAGGTGCTCATCCATGCAGCCACCGGCGGTGTGGGACTCGTGGCCGTGCAGTATGCGCAGCGACTTGGAGCAGAGGCGGGGCCGGGACGACGGGGGGCGGGTGGAGTCAAGAGAACTTCGTGGCCATCATTTCCTTTTTTGACCCTGTGAGGTCTACGCCACAGCTGGTCGGGACGAGAAGCGCCAGTTCCTGCGAGATCTCGGAGTCAAGTTCATTACGTCGTCGAGAAATGGCGCCTTCCTTATCATGTCGCATGTTGTGGCAGTGCCGTTTGTCTAGGCTTGCAGGAACAAGCGCTGAACCCGAGGCGACGAATTCGAGACAGAGATGAAGGGCTTCCTCAAGGCCTTGAAGGGATCGCAAACGCCAACTTCTTTGGGGCCCCCGAAACCTAAGAGGCCTCACAGCCAACACCTCAACAGGCTTTGTGCCTATGCCCTGACCGCTTCAAAGCCATCCCAAAGCCCGAAAAGGCCATACGCCCAAGATGCTACAAGGTTCTGTGCGCAAATCCGACGCCCCAAACCCCAAGTGCTTCAATCAGGGCTCTGACGGGATCCACGTGGTGCTCAACTCCCTCAGCCATGACACTTGGTACCGATTTGGCATAATTTTAGGGTTAGGGTGTAGGGTTTTCATGTCCACTACCGCCTTCGTGAAGAATTCTTCTAAAATCTAAACATGATCACTAACGGGCCCTGAGGTCCTGAAATCCCAAAAACCCCGAACTCTAGACCCTAGAGGCCAAAAGCCCCTTTACAATTATAGAATCCCTATAGATCCCTTTTGAACGGACCCGAAAGCCTTAAAGGAACCCTCATTACTACCCATGAACCTCCACTAGAGACACCAAGGACAATTTCATCGGCCGGAGCTTGGGCCTCTTGGCGAAAGGCGGCCGCTTCGTGGAGATCGGCAAGCGCGATGTCTGGAGTGTCGAGGAGGCCTCGGGATTGAGGTTTTTTTTGGGTGTTTAAGGGTTTTGCCGGATGTTTGGGGGTAGCAGGGTTTAGGGTTTTAGGGTTGTAGGGGTTTAGGGGTTTAGGGTAGCAAGGTTTAGAGGTTTAGGGGTGTAGGGTTTAGGGTTTAGGGCTTAGGCCCAAGTTTAGGCGTAGGGCTGTCAAGGGCTTTTTGATGAGCCTGCTACTTGCATCCGCATCGTTGTTGGCGGTAGAAGGTAGAAGTATCCTCTGGTGTCATCTATTGCTGTGATGATGACCATGATCAGAATCATCGTTGCTGTTTGCATACTGTGTGCGCCGACATGTTGAATGTTTTGCTTACGAGGCCGACGTAGTCCGTGGTGTTTACGTCGATGCAATTTGTATGAGTTTGCCTGAGCCCTAAACCCTCATTATCAGACAGACGAAGAGCTGCCTTCCACAGCATCAAGAAAAGCCCGAAGGTGAAGAAGTTCCGGGCGGACTTGAAGTACCACCTCCTGGCCATCGACGGAGTCTGCGAGAATGAGCCTGACCGCTACCAGGGCCTCTTGAAGCGGCTTGAGAAGGACCTGCGAGGCGCGGCAGCGTGGGGTATGTCGAGGTTCCCTAACAATCCCCAAAAAAGACGCGTCTCCGGCTCAGGCTCCTGGAAGCCGCTTCCAGCACAGGAGTTCGAGGGCCTGGAGAAGGGAGTGGAATCCTTGCAATTCCTGCAGCGGGCGCAGCACATTGGCAAAGTGGTCCTGAAGGTGCCGCATCGGATGAAGCTGTCTCCAGAGGCAAGCTACGTGCTTTCCGGTGGCATGGGCGCCTTGGGCCTCATCACAGCCCAAGCCCTCGCAGAGGAGGGCGCTAAGAGTCTGTTGCTGCTGTCTCGCAGTGGCAAGCCGGGATCCGAAGTGGAGCAGCAGTGGAAGTGGCTGCAGCAATCCAGCCTCCAAGCGACTGCTCTGGCCTGTGACGTGGCCTCCGCAGCTGGAGCGGCCGATCTGAAGAAGAGGCTCAAATCCGCCGAGCCGACCGGCAAGGGCAAGAAGCCTGTGCGGGGCTTGCTTCATCTGGCAGGTGCCAGGACCTCAGCTTCGCCTGCAAAGGCTCGCCGGGGCACCGGGCACTCCGTGTGCTCAGGTCTTGGATGATGCCATGCTTCCTCAGCTGACCCGTCAGAATCTCGAGCGGGCTTATGGCGCCAAGGTCATAGGAGCTAAGTGGCTTGGCAAACTCTGGAGAGTTTCGTGAAGTCGGAGCCTTCTGGTACCGGTTACTGAAGCTGTTTCCTACAGGCATCTTCACAGTGCGGCTGATGGTCTTTCCTTGGACTTCTTCGTGCTCTATTCCTCGACAGCCGCTCTGTTGGGTGCAGCAGGCACCAGCACCCAGAAGGGGTTGAATATAGACAGGCCTGGCATGCAATGCACATTCTTGCACAGGTCAGGGGAACTATGCAGCAGCCAACACATGCCGGAAGCTTACTTCCCTCTTGCCAAAACGGGGGTTTCCGAAAATAGGGGACCCTAATAGAGTACCCTAGATAGTGGGATCCTTACTATAAGGACCCCAAAATAAGGTACCCCTAAGTTTCGGAAAAGCTCTCTCAAATCTCTAGGATTTCGGATGTCGTTGAGGCCTGGATGCCCTGGCTCACCACTGGCGACTCAGTGGGGTGCCGGCTGGCAGTGTGCAGTGGGGTCCCTGGCTGGAGGTGGGCATGGCGGTGGGAGCCCCAGTTACTTTGGTTCCATGATATACTCTCCCAGAAGCCCGGGAGGATCTAGAAAGTAGATCCCCTACTTTGGGGCCCTATACTGCTAAGGGTACTTTATAGGAGCCCCCATTAAGGGATCTACTTTTTGGATCCTCCAAAAAAGGTCTGGGCTTGAGCTGAGAGCATCCTCAAAACCGAGCCCTACTGTGAAACTGAGGCGCAGAACAACTCCTTCTCCAGGTTGAAGATTAACGGCATCAGCAATGAGCCAGGGGCTCATCTGAAGCTCTCGGCTTCTGCATATCTTTCTGTGGTATCTGCTTGTCTGAAGCTCGGTGCCGGTCCAGGTTGGGAATGTCGGTGCTGCCCGCAGCTTAGACTCTCACTTCCCAACTTCGCACATGCCTCTTGCGGTTCTTCGCCCTAAGCACCGCCCTGAATAGAACTTTGGGGGGCTCGCTATATACTATACAGTTCTCATAAGGAGCCCCCAGAATGTTCTAGGTACTTGTTGGTTCACGTAGTTATGAATGGGCTTATAAGCCTCCTAATCGGAGTTGTAACTATAGTTACCCTACCTATAACCCCACTTATAACTACCCATGAACCTCCAAGTAACTATTCAGGTAAACTCCTGAACCCTCGCGAGGTCCACGGCTCTGACCACGCCCCTCTCCGGCGGGCGCCTGGGCTGCGCCCTGGTTCAGTGGGCCGGCTTCCTGAAGCAGCCCGGGCCTCAGGGGCCCAGCCGGGAACCCGTCCTTCCGTCTTACTTCTAGTTATCAGAATAATGGTACTCATAATAGTAATAATAATAGTAATAATAATGGTAATAGTACTGTAAAGTAACTGCTTCGGTTGGGAAGTATGGTATATATATATATATATATTATTCTTTATTACAGGTAATTCAGGATTTAAATCATCAATCGTAGTATCCCTCTTCCTTTCCGTGTGGAGCTTGTGTCTTTATCCATATGGCAGTGATGATGGCGCTTTTCTTCTATCGACCGTCATTCCTTCATGACCTGTCATGAGTGCTGGTACCGATATTTTCCGTTGTGTGGTCAGAGACTGCAGCAGTCACGATCAACGACTCCCTGCTACGAATGCTGTTGCTAAACAAGTAGTGGTGAGTCTTGCTGTTGCTTCCGCTCCTGTCGCTGCGGCTGCTACGACAGGCATTTTTGTTACGATCAAGAGAGCAAACCCGCTCTCCGGAATGTCAGGTTCCCTCGCGGAGCACCGAGCTACTTCAAGGACACACAGAGGGAAGGGCGAGAGGGGGCAGTTTAGTCTACAGGGCGCCGGAGCATTCTGAAATTCAACTCCTACTTCAGGACTTTCAAGGTTCTTCGTCCGTTCAGCGTGCGAGCGCTGAAGCGCAGCAGGCCGGCACATGCACGGCCAGAGCTGCAATCACGGCAACAATTGTAGTTATCGCGAGAAGAGGTGGCAACTCTCAGCCCCGAAGCTGTGAATGGTTGGATCAGTGGCTCTTCTGCATTTTCATGAGATGCATGCGTTGTGAAGCAGAGAAGCAGGCTTTGTACTGCAGTGATGCAAGGCTCGGTTGCTGCAGATGTTATCGGGTCAGCCGTGGACATGGATGAGCCTCTCATGGCGGCTGGCATGGACCGATGCCTGGGTCTGCATCTTCTTATCGAAGCATGATGATTAAAAGATTGAGCATATGCTTGTTGCTCGCAGGACTCCTTGTCCTCCGTGGAATTCCGCAACCGGCTGACTGCTGAAGCCGGGGCAGGTATCAAATTCCCGAAGCTGATCGGAAGTTAGACAGCGTGGTTCTGAGCCCAGCACAGATCATGCAAGTCGCAAACTGCAGCAAACCCGAGGAACACGCTCATGTTCGACCACCCGACGCTGCGAGCAATCGCGGATCTGGTGCAGTCCCAGATAGTGACAGACTCACCGGCAGTTTCGGCGACACCCGAAGCGAAAGCCATCGTGCGTACAGGACTCCAGGATGTCCTTGAACTCCTTTGTCCGATGCCACGGTACGGTACTCTGTAGTTCTGCGCAGGAAGCTTCACTGTGGCCGTCCAGGGCCTGGCGGCCTTCTTTCCAGGGGGTCCCTTTGTCATAGTTGGGAAACATCTTACATGTTTATGGGTACTTAAACCCAATCAGGAATAAAAATATACAGTGTTAATCCTATCCCAACCATGATCTAGGTCCGGAAGGCTTGGAGTCCTGTTGGTCCCGGTGGCTACAGCGCCAGGATGCCATCACAGCCGGCGCCTTAGAACCCTAAACCCAATACCCCTAACTAAATCCTAAACCCGAAGCTAAAACCCCAAACTAAATCCGAAACCCTAAAACCCTAGAGCCTAAACCCCCTAACTGAATCCTAAACCCTAGACCCTAAACCTTGAACCCTGAACCCTAAAGCCGGAGCCTTAGAGCCCGAAATGCCTTGGCCGAGGAGATTCCTTTCTCGCGGTTTGATCTTCAAGAAGTCTTTGATCAGGACATGGAGGCCCCTCAACGTTTAGGGTTTAGGGGTTCGGGTTTGGGGGTTACGGTTTAGGGCAAAATGCCTGAAAGTTGAACTTGCCACAGCTGCGGCCTTGGACTTCTGTTCTCTGACTTAGCTTTCGAAGCTTGGAGGCGCTGGGGAACGTAATGTACGCCCGCCACGGCGGCTTTGTGGAGGGTGCAGAATTCTTCGATTCGGGCTTCTTCGGCATGTCCGCGGCGGAAGCCAAGACCATCGATCCACAGCAGAGGCTTGCTCTCGAGATGTCCTACGCTGCGTGCCACCACGCCGGCCGTGCAAAGCAATCGCTATTGGGCTCCGACACCGGCGTCTTCGTCGGACTGCGCTTCAGAAACTTCCGGGCATCACAAACCCTAAATCCAAAGCCTTCTCAAAGCCTGAACCCTAAACCCCGCCTTGGCTTTAAAAGGGATCCGCGGCCGGAGCTTCGAATATTGTCTGTGTCTATGAAGAGGTTTCCAAGATTAGGCTTGTGATAGTTAGTGAATCTATGCCAAGGCTTGACAGTGGCCTGTAGGGTCGAAGCAAGGTTAGCTGCAGGTTCAAGTTCATGTGACATGGCATGAAGAGCGCAAGAGAGCAACCCTGTGGCAGGACAGTGTAACAATGATTGGGCCAAGTTTTCCAAGGAGCGATCTGCGAATCCGTACACGGGTCCCGGTACACATGCGTCCATCTCATCCAACCGAATCTCCTACAGCCTCGGGCTCAGGGGTGCAAGCGCCTCCGTGGACACGGCCTGCTCATCTTCCTTGGTTGCTCTGGACATTGCCTGCCAAAAGCTGGGCTTGGGTATGCTGGCAGCCTTGATGACCGGCGTCCAGCTGAACCTGATAGCAGAGCCCTTCGTTGCATTCTCAAAGGCGCGGATGCTGTCCCCGGATGGCCGCTGCAAGACCTTCGATGCCTCGGCAAACGGATATGTCCGTGGCGAAGGCTGTGGCTCAGCGTTGCTGCAGATCGCAGCCGGAGAAACTGGCGGAGCTTGGGCCCCCCTGCCCGCCATTGCCTCAACATCGACGAACCAGGCTCAGGGTTGTGGTCCTTGTTTCTTACCAAACCGAGCAACTCGAATCCTAATCCTGAATCCTCAGCCCTGCTGTGAACATAAGACCCGAAAGTCCTGAATCCTAAACCCCAAACCTGGAAACAGAAATTCCTACCCCCCCCAACTTAGCCTTAAACTCCAAACCCGAAGCCCTAAACCCCAAAGCCCAACCCCCATAGGATACAGAAAATCAGCAGGACGGTCGAAGCTCGACCCTGACAGCTCCGAACGGCCCGGCACAGCAGGATGCCATCCGCAAGGCCACCCGGCCGACCCTTAACGGGGACCCAAACCCTATAATGGGCTATATAATGGGTATATACTGGCTATATTAAGGGTATATAGTAATAGTATATACCACAGAGGGCTCACATGTGGGGTTTCAGAACGTGCGGGGTGCATTATTGTAGGGTCCCTGTGACAAGAACCGTGCCATTTAGACTCTAAAGTCCTCTTTAAGGGTCCCTTATCTTCCGAAACTCCCACAATGTTCCATGCCAGGTTCCGATTTTCAATCAAGGGTTGTCTCTCAAGCATATGCCGGTTTCAGGACGAGCAACTGCTGCCATGCTACTGCGATTGGTACATTGACTCGGAACCCTATTACAGAACATTTGGGTGTTGGGAGTCCGAAAAGACGGGACACCTCTAAAGATCCCCAGACAGGGTCCTTGTTTTGAGGAGTTGTCTGCGCAGGTGGCAGTGACAGCTTCTTGAAGTTTTGGGTTTAGGGTTTTGGGTGCATTAGAGTTCGAGATCGAAGGTGGCGGGGTTCAGGATACCAGGGTGGTTGTCAAAATTATGGTCCCTTTGTGGGTGCCCTAAATACTCGGTGCCGTACTATAATAAGGACCCAAAAAGGGACCCTAATTCTGACAACCACCCACCAGCCTTATCTCCTTCTCTGAGTGCCTGCAAGGCCCTGTCAATCGCCGAACTCTTGGGATCACAGATCAACTTGGTTGAGTGCCATGGCACTGGCACTGCCCTTGGTGATCCCATTGAGACCGGGGCGCTCAAGGTTGGACACTCAGTCAGTTTTTACAAGCGGATTCTGAGCAAAGGGGCTGGGAAGTTGAATGAAGGCTCACTGAACCCCCACCGGTAATTGTCGTAATTTGATGGCTACTTGGTGTGAACTCCAACTCAGGACACTCGGGGTGATGAGTCTGTTGCTTTAGTTGATGTCGCTCGTAGCGCACGACCATTTTGGACGAAAAGCTGTGGTGCATTGCATGACTAGGGCAGGGCATCCAGCAAACTTCTTAAGCTCTAAACCCTAACCCTGAACCCTAAACCCTCAACCCTATGCCCTTCACTACTCAGGCCGTGCTGGCGCAGGGACGTTCGATGCCTGTGCAGCTCGCGACCGTGAAAACCAATATCGGATTTTCGGACGTCAGTCACCCCATCTCAACTTCCAACTTGCTCTGCCAGTCATGGGGGGGTGTTGTTCCAAAGTGCTTTGCAAGGGGTTTTCAAACTCAGGACACTTGGAGGGAGCAGCTGGAGTGGCCGGTCTGGTGAAAAGTATGCTGGCCTTGCAGCGTGGTGGAGGGCTCAGCGAGGATTTCGGTTGGTGTCACTAGACAGGGGCTCGCATGTGGCTGTTGTTGTGTGTGGCAACATGGCAGCAGTTCCCGCCCAGGCACAGTTCCTCCAAATGTTCATTTCGCCAAGCTAAATCCCACAATCGACCTCGAGGACGCGTTTCGAGACCCTGTTGCGCGGAAGCCTTGGTTGCCTTATTCAGTTCGAGATGTCGAGGACTTTGCTGCTGAGATCCCCACTGTTGCGCAGCCTTTGCAGGGAAGCGCTCTGACATCAGGCCCATTGCTACTCTGCGCTCCTCCTCCTGCTAACTACTGCTATTGCTACTGCTGCCGGTATCGATACCAGTACTAATTAGTACAAACACTGTGTCTTCTTCTGCTTCCACCACTCTGTCTTCTACCACCGCTGATGCAAACAGCCGTGTGTGACCCTGTGCTCTTGTCAGGCCTTTCCTCTTTCGGATTTGGTCACACCAGCGCGCTTCTGCTTCGGCAACCTTTCTCCTGTAGCACTGTAGCAACGTCGTGAAAGGAAAGAATGCCGGGAATGGCCTGCATTTTGTTGCGAGGATAGTGTATAGCGAAGATTCTGTTTTAGTTGGCGTCTTTTTCGAGACCTTCTGCGTGATGCAAGCCAGGTGGCACCAATGCGCATGTGATCTGCAAGCACACAATCACCGATGGTGGTCCAAAGGCCGAATCAGGGTTGCTGTCGCAGCACAGCCAGTCATGTCAGAAGAAGCGCTTTTTCTCGGTTGGTATGGAGGCCAAGGCCGCGTCCAAGAAGCGCGTGGCATTCCTCTTCACTGGCCAGGGCTCCCAGCGCGTCGGGATGGGCAAACAGCTCTACTCCTCCGAGGACTCGCAAGATCAATGTGTTGTGTGGGCTGTACGCATATGCAAATGATATCGTCAGAAACCCAAGCACCAAACGCGGCTTGTCACCAGGAGTCCTTCCGCTCTGCACTAGATGTGTGTGCGGAGCTGTTGGATCCGCTGCTTGAGAAGCCGTTACTCGACGTGCTATTCAAGGCACCGGGCACCGTGATTCTTTTTATCCACTTCGGCAGTGAATGGGGCTCGGGCTGTCGTGTCGAGGCGGAGAACCGCGACCTGCTCAACCTGACCAAGTGCGCACACAGTCTTAGCCGGTCATAGCAGTAACAGGGGTAGTCATAGGTTCAACAACACGAGAGCAATGAATGTGTCCAGACATTCCTAAGAGCAGACTAAAACAAGTTCGAGCCAGAAAAACAACCGAGAATGGCAGTTCTATTCACAGTAGTTAGGAAGCCTTCACTAGCAAGAAACATGAGGGAAACAGACACATGCCACACGATAGAATAGAGTTCGACCAGCTACAAGGACATCTCGAATCTGGAAGGAAAATCGGCACTAGCATGCCGAGCAAGAACTACATGAAAGGTGCCTATGAGGCGTATAACCATATTCAAACGTCCCCATTTTGGAGTCAAGCAGACTCCCTTGAGCAATCCCCTGTTGTCCCTGTGCAGAATCCCAGAGATCATCTCCGTCAAGCTGTTTTGCAGGTTTTTGGTTTCACGTCCTTGAAAAGCCTCATAACAATTTTCTGCACCGGCCAGCGTGTAATGACGTGAGGTACTCGCAGCCAGCCATCTTTGCAGTAGAGTATGCGCTCGCGGAGCCTTGACAGCATTGTGCTGAAAGGGCCTTTAGAGGGTTGTTTTTGAGACTCTTAGATGCTCAGGACGATGTAAAGGTTAGTGTATAAAGTCTCTGTCGGCGCAACTTAACTTGTGTCCTCCATGACGCTGCTGACTCGAAGTGGGCCACTGACATGATCGGAAATCGTGCAGTCTGAATCGGGTTGCTTGTAAGGAGATGTGGAAAGCTCAGGGAATTGAACCCTGTGCCGTGCTTGGGCACAGTGTGGGCCACACGGCAGCAGCATCGATGCTGAGGTTGTGCAACTTCGTTACTGCTGAGCTTCGGAAGAACTGAGGCGAGTATGCCGCTGCTGTCGTGGCGGGTGTCCTCGAGCTCGAGGATGCCGCACGCCTGGTGGCGGAGCGTGGCCGTCTGATTGCGGAGCTCTGCGAGGGAAACATTGGCGGCATGACAGCCTGCCACTTGCCTTGTGATCAAGTCTTGTAGAGTCTGGCCCCTTGGACCCTGAACGGCTTGTCCCGCTTGTCCCGCATTCTGGTTGCGGCTTACAGTGCCTTACAGCTTGAGCTGTCGTGAGGCTTTGCTCCTGAAGCAGATTCTCAGATGCAGCTACCTTGAGATGCTTCACAGGGTCAAGACGTTTCTGCGAACTGGAGGGCCGCCGCAGCCGAGGACGTGCTCAAAGTCCTTTCTGGACTATCGGAGAGCGATCGCAAGGAGGTGTCAGTTGCTGCAGTGAACGGACCGAAGATGACGGTGGTCTCAGGCCGATTTTTGCACACCGGCGGCTAGTCTTGTTGAAGAACCCTGTAGTGCTGACGACCTGCAGGACGCAAGGACTTGGTAAAGCAAGTGGTTCAGAGCACGGGCGCTGGAAACAAGGACATCTGTTTCCGGTTTCTGCCGAAGTGGTCTCAGAGGAGGTCAGGCTGCATGCTGCGCGGCCCGATAATCCAAGCTACTGCGAGAAATTCGCGCCGACTTAGTAGCTCTCAGACAACCTTCAATCATCTTCAATCATCAGTGCGATGCATTAACTCCTGTTCCCTCGTCAATCCAATAGAGAGACCAGCACCACAAGGAACAAGCAGGATGTGATCGAACATCAAAGCGTAGCTTTGTGGGCTACACTGCCGGGCGTATACCGTATATGCAGCCATTGATTCCAAACTGCAAACACACATACATGGTCCTACGCCCACACCCAAACTCAAGAGACCCTTCATCTCGAAGACAGCAGCAGGAGCTCAACGTCTCTCATGCGTTCCACTCCCCGTTGATGGAGCCCATGCTTGAGAGCTTCCGGACGGAGGTGCCAGGACTCAGAAACTCTCGGCCGAACTCCACGAGTTGCTATCAGTAGGGAGTTGCCAAAAATGTTCGTCAGAAAGAAAATTCAATGAGCTATCGTAGTTTTTTGTTCGTTAATCATCGTCCGGGTAGTGACGCGGTCATAGAGTAGCAATACGGTAATCAAGAGCACCGAAGCTATCATCATCATCATCGTCGTCGTCGTCATCATCATTACCCGCATCTGCATCATCATCATCATCATCGTCATCGTCATCGTCATTGTCATCGTCATCATCCGCATCAGCATCATCATCACCACCATCATCATCATCATCATCCGCATCAGCATCATCATCATCATCATCATCGTCATCGTCATCCGCATCAGCATCATTTGAGCATTCGAAGCCCAAGAAGCAGAGCCGCTTTGGTATTGCAGGTTTCCTCCGCGAAGCTCTCCGCTCCGCAAGTGCGTTTCCTCTCCACGGTGACGGGCAAAGAGGAGAGCGATCTCTTCAAAGATCCCGGCTACTGGGTCCGGCATGTGTCGCAGGCAGTGAGGTTTGCCGACGGCATGGCAGCTCTGGAGGGGCTTGGGGAGGCCGAAGCTTACCTGGAAGTGGGCCCGGAGCCCACCTTAGTAAAGATGGGGAAGCGATGTGCCTCTGGTCCCGCGGCCAGCAAAGAGTGGCCCTGGTTGCATTCAATCGAGCCCGAACAGGCTGAGGGCAGCACGGTGGCTTCGGCTCTCTCGCAACTGCAGGGGGCGCTGCCGGCCCTTCAGTACAAGCGACAGCCCTTCCCCTGGCGGGACGCGGGCCCCCGGCTTCTCCGAAAGCGCAGCGAAGGGCAAAACGAGGTCCTCTTCGACTGCCCGGTCCGCGGTGACATCTTCCAGGTTGGCAGAACCGACACAGCAGTCAGATGAGCAGAAGTAACAGCCACAGTAATTTAAAGGAAGCAGTAACAATACTGGCCCGGATCCGTATGTTCCTTGATTCATTCCTCAGGTGTCTGCCGAGCATGTGGTCTACAATGAGATCGTCATCCCGGGTGTGGTCTTTGTGGAGATGGCCATGGAGGCTGCAAGGGCACACCTTGGGCCAGAGGCCCAGCTGCGCGACATACAGATGGTATGGCCCTTCGTGGTGCCCAAAGATGGGGACACGGACAGCAAGCAGATGATGATGCGCTTGGCCATTATTGGCAACAAGCGTTTTGAGCTCCGGAGCCAGGGCCCGGGTGACGATGCTTGGACGGTTCACTGCGAGGGTCGCGTCGAAGCCACGGGCGGAGGGCCGAAGGCGGCAGCCACCATCGACCCGGAGCAGACGCTCTCGGCGTGCGCTGGGAGGTGCCCAGAGCAGGTGGATCCTGGGAAGCTGTACCCCTTGGTGGACAGCACGGGCCTATGGCTGGGGCCGAAGTTCCAGGTCTGCCATGACATGCGCCGCAACCCGGACGAGATCTCCTGCCGCATGCAGCTCAACTCCGACGTGCCAAACCAGGGCTACATCATCCACCCATCTCTCTTCGACGGCACCATCCATGCTGTTTGTGCCACGATGTTCGATCAGGATCCGCCCTTCCTGAAGATCTTTGCTGGTGTTGGTAAAGTCACCGTCGTGGCCAACGAGGCACTCACTGGAGTAGCTGGCATTTCAGGGATGCCCTTCTCGGCTGCGAGTTGCTGAGATCTCGGGTCCTTGTAGCACCCGCTCCGCATGTGCATGTTTCGTTGCGAAGTGCATCATGTCCCGCGAAGGCTCCAAAGGACCAGGCCGTCGTGCTGCATCTTCGCATCGATGAGAAGACCGACCAGCAGCAGATCTTCACATGCCAGGTCTTTAGTGAGGCGGGCTCCCTGCTCTGGAAGCTGGAGGATGTGATTTTCCGGAAGGTCCTCCCGGAACAGATTCAGAAGGCTTTAGCCGCCACGAAGGCCAAGGACGCCGTGAGCTTCTTCGAGACCAAGTGGAAGCAACTCCCCGAGGAAGCTCTGGACTCGGAGAGCGGCCTCCTTCCCTCCGAAAACTCTGAGGGCCGCTGGCTCTTCTACGCCGAGGCGCCGCTGCTGGAGGCAAGCTTTCGGGGATCCCCTTCCCCTTCCCCTTCCGTTGCACAAAGGTGGATTTTAGGTTTTAGGTGGAGTCGGCGAGAGACTGAGAGATCCGGCAGGTTCTCAAGAAGGATCTGGGCGAGCAACACGTGTACATCTCGTCCATGTCTGAGAACGGTCTCGACTACGACAACTTGACGCGCATCGTCTACCTTCCCGCAGATAAAGACAGCCCACTGGACGTGCTGGACAACGGCCTCCGCCTCATCCAAAAGGCGCTGCAGGTGGGAGATGCGGCCCCGGAAGTCTGGTTTGTCCTCCGTGGCACCCAGGTGGGGACTCGGGTGATGTCAGTAAGCGCCGCCTCCTGCAGTGTTGCAGATTCCGATTTAGAAGTGGGAGTCTCTGACACCGTGGTCGCAGCTTTGCAGCTTTGCTTGATGCTTCGTCCTCTGTGCCTCTTTTCAGGCTTTGGAGGCGTCTGCGCTGAAGGGCCAGGGGCTTCCTTTGCACGCGGGCTTGTGGGGTTTGGCCCGCTGCTTGCGCCTCGAGTCTCCGGGCTCCGTCGCTGGCTGCGTGGACTTGGGCCCTCTCGAGAAGCCCAAGCCCAAGGACATCGTGAGCAGGCTGGGACGGAGAAGCTTGATTCCTGTGAGTAGCCGCTTCAGCTCATGACCAATGCTGCACCTTACATCACGGAACGCTGTCTGATGCTCATCCCAAGCCTTGGATCCTAGAGGCTCCGTGCCCTCACGACGCGGCGCTCGGGCGAGGCTCCGGAAGTGGAGCCGGAGCTCTTGCTCCAGGGGCAAACGGCGCCCACCTTGTTGGTCTCTCGGCTGGAAGAGACGACGGCGAAGTTCCAGGAGGTGGATGTGGAAGCCTACAGCCACTGAGCAGCAGTATTACTAGTACTGTCCTCCCCTTTATCATGTTTTTTCTCAATGCCATCGCCTGTTTTGTGTTTTGCAACTAGTTATGAGTATATTACTGCTGGTTTAGTCGACGAGCAGTTGCAGAAGCTCAGCCAATGCAAGGTCTGGGGGAAGCCAGCTACGTCATCAGTCGGGCACCGAGTTTTTGAGGGCGGCTGCACTCGTAGAGTTTAGGGTGTAAGTCCTCGGTCGCAGTGCATCCAGAGCAGCGTGAGCCTAAAGCCTTCATCCCAAGACTACGACCTCCACCTTGAAAATTGACCCAGGTGGAGGCACGGGTGGCCTCGGGCTGCTTTTTGCTGCATGGTTTGCGGAGAAGGGCGCCGGACATCTGGCACTGCTGTCTCGTAGCGGCAAGATCGCACAGGACTGACGACGGGCTGCATCCTGTGTAAGATGTACGGTGTGCTATGCATCACTGTGTCATACTGTTCCATTCCGAACTTCTACCATGCTACTCTACGACTCTACGATGCTGCAGGATCCTGGATCTGCTGCAGCCTAGGTCTCAGTTTGAAGTTTCCAGCTGTATCGCATCTCAGGTCATCATCAACCCACCTTTTCACGAGAAGCCCCCGTCTCTCTCGCTCAGCTCAGGCCTATGCCAGGCTTCAGAATACAGCAGCTGCAACCACTGTGGAGTCGTGCGACACCTCTGCCGTGGAGGCTTGAGTGTTCAACATATATAGGGCCTGGTCAGTATGAGCGCCAGAATCACCTCAGGCTGTGACCTCTTGCCTGAAGTCGGTGCATGGCAAGCAGCCGCTCAAGGGAGTCTTGCATGCAGCCGGTGTCAGAGCCTCAGAGCAGAATGCGCTCAGGGGCGTGTGGAATGCGATATCGAACCATTCTGTGGGAGCGCTGTGGTATTCGGTGATGAGGTCTTGGATGATCACTTGATCATGGACCTGCAACGCGAGCATTTCGTCCCGGTGCTCAAGCCCAAGATTGACGGTACCCTGCTGCGCCCTAAGTTTGTCAGCAGAGCAAGAGGTGCAATGCACATGGCCATGAGAGGACAGCGACTAACAGTATCATATGAATCATGGGCCATTGCATAGTATACGATACTGATGGACCGTGAAGATTGAGTACTGAGATGACTGCACAGATTCTGCGTGCATGCAAACTGCTGCCTGCAGGTACAGGTACACACGTATGTCAGTGTATGTACGTATGTATGCATGTACTCGTATGCATGTGTGCTTAGGAATCTCCATGCGGCGTTACAGAAGCTCGGGCTTGAAGGCAAAGGCAGCAGCAAGGCGGGCGGGATGCGACGGAGCGTTTTTTGGGCTTGGCGGTTTGGAGTTCGGGATTTGGTGAGCATCTGGGCAGCGAATTTGTTCGAGAGTCGTCTTCCCTCTCTGACACATGGTTCCCTCGAGGTGGATTTCTTCGCGCTCTTCTCCTCCGTGGCGGCAATGCTGGGCTCTCCGGGCCAGGCACCGTCTGGATTCGACTTCTACGAAACCGTTCGCCCAACAATGACGGAGTACACAACGCCATACAACTAACAGTGCAAGTAGTGCTATACGACTTAACAACTCTGTTCGCGATGATAAGACGTATACACCAGGTCCCCCCTGTGATCACAACCTTGAGCCTCTAGTGTGGCAAGCCTGAGCTCGGTCTCAGGCTTAACCCGTATCTTCCGCGCAGTCTTAAAGTAGCACTTGGAGGTTCATTAGTCCTACCCATGAACCTCCCAGCAGTGCTTGCAAAGGTGTTTGAAGTGCCAGCCCTGGGCCCTGTGCAGGCAAACTACTGCTCGGGCAATGCCTTCCTCGATTCCTTTGCCCTTCACCGGCATGGCCAAGGCCCTTCGAAGGTCTAAAGTGTGGAAGGGTAGCATATTATTCTATTATAGCATACTATAGTGTGTTATAGTATATCATGGTATATTATGGTATAATGGTATAGTATATTAGATCATATTTTTGGGGAAGGGCAATGCAGGAGGATGTGAGATCCTAGCCGCATCTCCCCATGAAGGCCTGCCAGCTGTGTCGGTGCAGTGGGGACCCTGGGCTGAAGTGGGCATGGCCGCACGGGCCGGGACGACGGAGAGCGGCGGCTACCTGCGCTTGGATCCCACCGCCAGCTTGCAGGCACCTCCATTCGAAGCGATTTCCGCCTAGGATGGTCGGCCCTGATTTTGCCATTTCATGCTGGGACTGCTCAGGCGATGGGTGCAATCCTGGCCGCAAGTCCATCGCCGGGGCTTGTCGGAGTTGCTCGCATCAACTGGTCCTCCTTCTTTGCGGCGCAGCCGAAAGTACCATGCTTCCTTGAGAATTTCCAGCACCACAAGAAGTCGACAGGCGTGGTGCTCAGGGCACTGCTTTTGAATCCTTCCCTGCAGCGGCGCCTTGCTTGTCCATCCGCAGCCGTGCCAAGTCTGACCCCATCCACGCTGAAAGCCCACATAGCCGGCAGGTGTGAAGATGGGAAGCGGAGGGGTTCCGAAGGCCGGATCTGACCGCCGCGTAAGTTCGAGTGTCTTTTCCGTTTAGGCTAGGCTTGGGCCTGTGAGGCATGTGGGAATCTGAGAACTTCTTCCTTTGCTGAGACTGAGGGTGAGTTCTAACGAACCTAGTCGAACCTGTGTGCAACGCGATCTGCCAGAATTCTGCAGGATCTGGTGAATTCCACCATCATCAACGTGCTTTGCGACGTGCTGGGGGATCCTGACCTCTCGGACTTTTCGGTTCCTTGGTCCCCTGAGATCCCCATACCCGAAGCCCGAATGAACCCCAAGTCTCCCTTCAAGCCGCCCCGGAACCCCCGCAAGACTCCCGCAAGCCCCCCAAAAATCGAAGCAAAAAAAGCTAGACGCCCAAATCCCTTGAGACCGTGAGCAGACACCCCTTAAAAAAGCACCCAAAATTTCAAGGGGCCTCTGTTCAGCGTCTGAGCAAGCTTGGAACCCAGGTACCTCTGATGGACATGGGCTTGGACTCGCTGTCGGCCGTTGAGTTCCGCAATCGCGTCCAAGCCTCCTTCGATGGCCTCCACCTCGCGTCTACCGTGGCCTGGAGATGTTTCTCCAGGGTCTAGGCTTTAGGGTGGACCCTAAACCCAAGGAAGAGGGTCCGGGGTTTTTGATGGTCCAGGGTCGCGTCTAGGCTTGAGGGTTTTGGTAAGGTTCAGGGTCCAGAAAAGGCTGTCCTGAGTCGCTCACGATCTCAGGTCATGTTTGACTATCCCACGGTTGCAGACTTGACCGACTACATCGTGGCGCAGTTCAGCGACGGAGACGAAGGTGATGAAGCGGCCGTTGGAGGCCTCCCTCAGGGCTGACATTTTTTCAACAAAAAGCCCCTGAGCCTTAAACGGCTCCTCCTGGGATCACCGAGGCGTCCGGGATCTCAACACGAACGAGCCCATGGCCACGATCGGAATGGCAGCCAGGTTTCCAGGTTGTCATGGTAATGGCGCGAATGAGCACCGGCCTGAGAACCTGGATGCTTTCTGCTGTGGATCGAGAGGAAACTGTGTGGGGCTTCGGTTTGTGATGCTGTCAGAGTTTCGAAGTCCGATGCGCTTGAAGGTATTGGGCGATGCTCTGTGCAGGGCTTGACATGATCTCTACAGTCCCCATTGAACGATGGGACATCGACCTCTACCACGATCCTGACCCCTCGGTGCCGGGCAAGATGCATCACGGCTCGAGTCGGAAGGTTACATGTGCCTGAGGTTACGTGCTGTCCCCTTTTCTTACCTTCGGTTAGTAGGGAATGGAAAGAATGGTAGCAATAGTAGTCATAATTGCACCCCATTCCTCCATTCCCCACTAACCAAAGGTAAGTTTTTTAGGGGCCCCTTACAGCAAAACGGCTTTTGTTGCCGGGTGTACCTGCAGGTACACTCGCTGGGGCGGCTTCATTTTCGGCCTGGAGGCCCTGACCCCGGATTCACCTGGGCCTTCTTTCCCCACTTGGAGGTTCATGGGTAGTTATAAGTAGGGTTATAAGTCCCCTAATAGGAGTTATAACTATAGTTACCGTACTTTTGACCCCACTTACAACTACCCATGAACCTCCAAGTAAGTCGTGGCAGGGCTTCGACAACAAGATGTTCGGCATCGCGGAGCCGGAAGCACAGGCCATGGACCCACACCAGCGGATTCTGCCTCTCGTCGAGCATGCAGCCTCCACAAGCGCTTTCCTGCCCACAACAAACTCGAAGCATTTCTAATACTGTGTATCATGTTTTGATTATGTTATGTCGCAGCCTTCAGGTTGGAGGTGGTCTACGAGTCTTTCTGGCACGCCGGCCTGGACAAGGCGTGGCGCATGGGAGCTTGCCCCCGTCCTTCGCAAACTTCTCCTTGACACGTTTGTAGAACCTCTGTAGTGAGCCGCCTTTTGCAAACCCTCAAAGTCTTTACTCAAAGTAACCCTTGTAGCCGAAAGTCCTGAGCCCCAGGAGCAGCTGTCCAACACCAACTGCGGCTGCTACGTCGGCTGCGCCACTTTGGGTGGCATCAGCGTCCAGGACTTCCCGGATGCCACAGCATACAAAAGCTGCCTCTTTGAGTTCACTTCTGAGTCCCTGCCATGCTAGTAGCAAGTCTTACAGAAAACCTACTGGTAAGTTTTTTGCCCACCTTAGAGTAACTTCATATTCTAACCATGAGTTTGAAGCCGGCCACATGTGGCCAGCAACGGAAAGGTTTTGTTTGGTGAGGGTGATGATTGCCAGTCCACTCGTGACCATGTCTGACATTCGTAGAAGTTCTTCATTGGTCCGTGGAGATTTGCAGCGAACATGTCGTTGTTCGCTCCCGTTGCAGGGATGACGATGTCTAGTGCTCATGACATACGGGTGGTTGTCAAAATTATTATATTAAGGACCCCCCAAAAGGGACCCTGATTTTGAGAACTACCCATATTGCAGCATCTGTAGCAGTAGACCCTGTTTTCTTCTCAGCTGCTGAACTCTGGAAGGACGAAGACATCGGCCCCTTCACCAATATCGGCTCCTTCCCATCAGGGCGACTCAGCGTTTGACCGTCGGGTTGTAATGGTAGGGCACTTGAAACACCGAAGTTCGCCCGGAAATTTCTGTGCGTGTTGGCAGTTGTGCTCTTTGAAGGAACTCGGGCCGCGTCTCTCACGCACTTGGCCTTCGCGGGCCTTGCTTCACTATCGACACCGCATGCTCGCCACTTGTCACTGGTTTCTCCGGAGTCGCGCATGCGGAAGGAAGGGAAACCAGTGCGAGAGGGTAGCTAGCTCGCCGGAGGTCGACGCTGGTGGCACTGGACTGTGCTGCCCAAGGAAAGCGTCTTGGAAAGTGTGACCGCAGTATCGTGGCCGGCAGCAATCTGTCACTGGGCTGCAATGCATCCTTCTCAATGTCCAGAGGGGCTTCAATAATTAGAATAAGGTTTTGGGCCCCAAAATAGTATCCGACGGCGCCTGCATCCGCCCCAGCAAGCAAACTGCCTGTACCTTTCAGGCAGCTGTGTCCGAACACGTGGGTGCCCTGGCAGCAGAGGACCGTTGTTTCGCAAGAGTTCAGATGTGCAAGAGGAACTCCTTGGCGCTTGCGGAAGCATTGTCTCTCCGAGGTGGGCTTCTGCAAAATGGGGATGGCTCTCTCGCCCGATGGACGATGCAAGACCTTCGACGAATCCGCCAATGGTTTCACCCGTACCGACGGCGCAGGGTCTCTGATCTTGGAGCTGGCATCGTCTGCCAGCAAGGCTCGGAGAAGTTCACACTGAGCCGTTGCCGATCCTACGATGTCAGAGCTGAAATGCTCAGGCAGGTCGAGCAGACACTTGACGTTTGACAGGCCGGAAAGCAGGAAGTGGCTACCGCACTGGGGGTCTGCGTGAACCAGGCCGGGGCCAGATCTACAGGGCGCTAAGGCAGTCAAGGCCATTGGCGTGCTCAAGAATGATAGAGGCTCCGATAACATGTAGTTGTAGCCGTGAGGAGCGTGATCGTCGTAGCCCTGCTGCCAGAAAAGACGAGCAACGATTGCGATGGTGCTGGTGGTGATGATGATGACGAGGATGCCGATGACAGTGATGCCAGGCCCAACGAAGATTCTCCTGCCCTAACACGACGACTACTTGTACTGCAACAACTGTAACTCTAAGACTCCTGGATCATATGAGTCATATTCATAACATGACCACGAATGCCAACACAAATACTGTCGTATGATTCGACTACCAATATGTAGCAGTATTCACGGTTGCAGAAAGGCGTATCGTAGTAGTATGTGCATCACCAACAGTGCATGTTATGTGTGTATAGGTGTAAAACAGAACTGGTAGCAGCACCAACAGTCAATTTTGAAGGCAATCTCATCGCTTCGAATCTGTTCGAGCGACAGTCCCAGCAGCAACAGCAGAATAATGGGAATGATGCTGGCAACTCTGTTCAGGTGAAGTGCCGAGTGCTCTGTTAGGACCGATAAGAGTACGATGAGCTCGGAACAGCTCAGGAAGCGGAACTGCAGCAGCATCGCCAGCAGCACTTCACCACCACCAGCACCATCCCCAGCAGCATCAGCATTGTAAGCAGAATCTTCCGTAGCATCAGCATCGTCGCGCATCACCATCACCACCACCATCATCAGAACCACCAGCATCATCGTCATCATCATCATCATTCCGGCTGGCGTCATCGTCATCAGGATCTTGATTCTCATCCTCGCCCATCCCAATCACGGTCGTCGTCGTTTCAAAAGGCGGCGTCGATCCTGCTTTTGAGGATGGCCGCAGCGCCACAATCACGGCACCCTCCGGACCTGCTCAGCAGCGCTGTATCAACGCCTCGCTTCAGGAGATGGGTTTCATGAGATATGGTTCAAGTACCGGAGATTCTTGAGTACTCCTGTTGCACATGGGCCATTTTCAAGGCGCAAGTTCTCAAACCCCATGCCGCCCCATGCCGCCCCCCCCCACCCCCACACACGCACACAACGTCCAAAAACTCTTCCGATGTGTGTGGAGGCTGTGTTCCCTCCGCTTACTTTCCGGGGTGGCACTCTTGTGCAGATCTTGTGGGTATCGGCTGTTGTATCCGTTTGATTGTTGCCACTGCCACTGCTGCTGCTGCTGCTCCTCCTCCTCCTCCTCCTCCTCCTCCTCCTCCTCCTCCTCCTCCTCCTCCTCCTCCTCCTCCTCCAACTGCTCTACTACGGCCCCCATGGTCCTGTTGATGTTGCAATGTATCCATGTTGTTGTTCACCTGTTGGAGTATTGAACGTTGCAGGAAGCATCGGTGAAGGCGTTGGAGGTGTCACTGGTGGAAGTCCATGGTACCGGCACATCCCTGGGCGATCCCATTGAGGTTGGTGGTATGAAGAGCACCTTAGGCAAAGGTCGCACGGAAGATGCGCCTTTGGTGCTGGCCGCGACGAAGTCGATCATCGGACACACCGAAGGCTTCCTGCATGGAATTTCCCATGATCTCCACTCCTCCCTGGCACTTTTCCTGCCCTGTGTCTCGGCCTGCTCCGGCTTCTTCCTCTGCACCTGCCCGAGGTTCTGCGGGGGTTGCCGGCCTCATCAAGATGATTGGTGAGTTCAACTACAGGCACACTGAAGCGTCTCCAAGCAGTGGTAGGCAAGCAGCATCAGTTGACCGTCAGGATCGTGCCGAAGAACCTGCACTTGAAAAAGATGAACCCCAACATCGACTTGACCGACTTCCCCGTCATCATGCCGAGCAGTATTATTGATTGGAAGGGATCCCGAGCAGTTGCGGGCACATCTTCCTTCGGCCTCTCAGCTGCAAAGAAGTTTGTCCTTGTGTTTTCTTGCTCACATCGCATTCGTTGCTTCAAAACCCAGCAGACGAGGATTCTCTGGTACCAACAGCCACGGCACCTTGGAAGCTCCGGGTGGAGGAGACGGAAAGAACGTGATCTTGGAGCGCCCTGAGAAGCTGAAGTGGAATCGAACCTACCATCGGATGTACCATGACTGGTCTCAGGGCCTCTGGTTTGCCAGCGAGTGGCGTGCCGCCCCTCTTCCTGCTGCCACATCCGAATCCGGCCCTTGCCTGGTGATCGGTGGTGCTGCCTTTGGGGATGAGTTGAAGAAGCTGATGGAGATCAGCTCGGTGCCGGCGAAGGCAGACGAGCTGGAAGCCAAGATTCAAGGCAATGCCTGGAAGACCGTGGTCTTTGCGGAGACCCTGGTGGCAGAGGATCCGACTGCGGAGGGCCCCGCAATGGCGGCCTTGCTAAGTGCGGCCCAAGCTGCTGCGATGTCTCCGCAGATGCGCTTCGTCGTGCTCACTGCAGGGGCTCAGGAGGCGGAGGCTTCCGGTGAGGGCATGGGACGTGGCCTCCTGGGTGCGGCGGCCTGGGGCTTCATGCGCTCCATGCCGCTGGAGGCCCCGAAGCTCCAAGCCCAGGTCATCGATCTGACGGGGCCTCAGCTTCCCCACCCTTTTCCTTCCTTGTTCCTTCTCCTGCAAGTTTCCTGGTCCTTGCTTTTGGCCAAATGCCAACCCCCCCCGCCTTGCTTTGTTCAGCTTTTTCCCTCTGAGGCCGTGTTCTTACACCGGGTTCCTGACTTCTTGGGTGCAGAGCATTGCAGATGAGCTGTCCTGTGAGGACTGAAAGCATGGTAGAAGCTGTCTCTGCGCAGCATGGTTTCGGATTCAGGCGTTATTTAAGGTTCATTTTCCCAAAAGCATCACTCTTCCTCGAGCAGAGCCTCTCACTTCTGGAAGGACTTGGAGCGTGAAGTTTCCTATGGAGAGGATTCCGCAAGGCGCGTGCCGCGTTTGGCGAAGTACACCATGAAGCCGGGCGTAGCTCGGCACTTTCTTGGAGTGTGATGGCCATCACACAAAGCAGTTTCGAACTGTGGTCACGACGATGAAGAAGACACAGATCACGAAGAGTACGACGCAGAGAGGAGGCCGTGACAACATCAGACATACTAGTAGGAAGAGCGACATCGGCAGTCGTATGGCGCCGTCGTGGTTGTCGTGATGGTGGAGCGGTCGCGATAGCAGTTGTCATTGAAGTAGTCGAACTCGTAGCTGTAGGAGTGGGAGTGGTGAAGCAAGCAGAGAGCACGGCCATTGCAAAGCAAAAAGTAGTGATGGTGCATGTAGCAGCGGCAAGAAAATAATATCATAGCGCTGGATGAGAGTAGTGAGACGGTAACAGCACGGCAAGAATTGTAGCAAACAGACGGGACGGCGATGCATGTCACAATGACTGTGACAAGTACTTGCAGTACTCTTGGCAAACGCAGCAAAAAAAAACAATATCATGATAATTGCCAGTTTAGTGGCACGTGCGAAAGCTGATGCCCATGATGCTCACTGGCCTGGGGCTTGTGGTGGAACGTGGGGCAGCTGATGCTCGCTGGCCAGGAGGGCTTTTGGTGAAGGGCGGGGCAGCTAATGCTCATGATGCTCGCTGGCCTGGGGCTTGTGGTGAAGGGTGGGGCAGTTAATGCTCGTGATGCTCACTGGCCTGTGGCTTGTGGTGGAGTGTGGGGCAGCTGATGCTGATGATGCTCGCTGGCGTGGGGCAGCTAATGCTCATGATGCTCACTGGCTCGGGGCTTGTGGTGAAGCGTGGGGCAGCTGATGTTCATGATGCTCGCTGGCCTGGGGCTTTTGGTGAAGGGTGGGGCAGTTAATGCTCGTGATGCTCACTGGCCTGGGGCTTGTGGTGGAGTGTGGGGCAGCTGATGCTGATGATGCTCGCTGGCGTGGGGCAGCTAATGCTCATGATGCTCACTGGCTCGGGGCTTGTGGTGAAGCGTGGGGCAGCTGATGTTCATGATGCTCGCTGGCCTGGGGCTTTTGGTGAAGGGTGGGGCAGTTAATGCTCGTGATGCTCACTGGCCTGCGGCTTGTGGTGGAGTGTGGGGCAGCTGATGCTGATGATGCTCGCTGGCGTGGGGCAGTTAATGCTCATGATGCTCACTGGCTCGGGGCTTGTGGTGAAGCGTGGGGCAGCTGATGTTCATGATGCTCGCTGGCCTGGAGCTTTTGGTGAAGGGTGGGGCAGTTAATGCTCGTGATGCTCACTGGCCTGGGGCTTATGGTGGAGTGTGGGGCAGCTGATGCTGATGATGCTCGCTGGCGTGGGGCAGCTAATGCTCATGATGCTCACTGGCTCGGGGCTTGTGGTGAAGCGTGGGGCAGCTGATGTTCATGATGCTCGCTGGCCTGGGGCTTTTGGTGGAAGGTGGGGCAGCTGGTGCTCGTCATGCTCACTGGCCTGGGGCTTGTGGTGGAGTGTGGGGCAGCTGATGCTCATGATGCTCACTGGCCTGGGGCTTGTGGCGCAGTGTGGGGCAGTGATGCTCATGGTGCTCGTTGGCCAGGGTCTTTTGGTGAAACGTGGGGCAGCTGATGCTGATGATGCTCGCTGGCCTGGGGCTTGTGGCGGAGTGTCGGGCAGCTGATAACGGTTGAACCGATTTCAGCTAGTGCTCTCGGCGATGTTCATCCAGAAGTTTATGACTACTGACTGGCACTCACAATGATTTGTCAATAAAGCAGATATGCGGCACGCTCCGTAACGATGTTTTGCAGCGGCAATTCTGCACTTGTTTTCGCGGTTGGAACTGCAAGCGGACGTACATGCAGAAAGGGAATGCATCATCAAGCTTCAATCGCGGAAGACAGTGTTGCCATGTGTAGCAGGGATGGTCCTGAGAACAGCAACAAGTAGCCATGTGCCCCAAAGCCGCGAAATGCCAAACCTCAGTTTCCACAAACTCGTAATCGAAATACCATGTTTTTGTATTTTTATATTCTTATTTACTTTTTGGTATTTACAAAATATTAAGCCTCCCTCCATCTCAGGTCAACACCCTTGCAGATCCCGCGAAGACGCAGCTTGTCACCGGCGGACTGGGTGGCCTTGGCCTACAAACCGCCCACGCCCTGACGGTGCTTGGCACTCAAGTTGAGAGTTTCACAAGAATAGGGAACCCCAATATAGTACCGTAAATAGTAGGTCCCTGTTACAAGGACCCCAAAATAAGGTACCCCTAATATATTTCGGAAACTCCCATTTCAAGCAGGGTTTAGGTTTTGAGTTTGGGGGTTTTGACCAAGGGCACTGAGGTCTCGCCAGCATGCTGAAAAAGATTAGGAACAAGACTTGGTAGTCATGCTTCGCGGGAAGCCAGAAAGTCGCTTCGGCAGTAAAAAGTGCGGGCTAACAGCAGCAACAGAGAAGTGCAGGCAGTCGCGGGCGAACGGGTAAGGGCACGAGTGAATGTATTACAAGAGAGCCGTAGGAAGCGAAGTCACCCGGCAGCAGCAATGCTTATGATGAAGAGACGCCAGCGACCTCCGGCAGTAATCACAATCGTCATAGCCATAGCAGTAGCAGGAACCACATCGGAGTTTCATTCGACACCGAAGCTTCATTCGAGGATCTCGGTGCTCGAAACCTGCTCCTGGTCTCCCGTCGCGGGGCCGTGGCTTCTGGTGATGCTGCGGCGGTGCAGCAGCTGGAGGATCTGCAGGCGTCACGTTCGGGCTGTAGGAATGGGCTCCGATCCCGTCTGAAGGTTGTAGGATTACACCTGCCTGGCAGGTGAAGCCCGGAGTCACTGTGCACACCTGGGCCTGTACCTCCATCGGCACTGGGACTTCTGCATTCTTGTGTAGGAATTCGTCCACTGCTTGCAGAGCAGAGCTCAGATCGGTGCTTCTTGACCAGGTGATGTGGGCCAGAAGGACAACGTCACGGCTCTGATGCAGCGTCTACAGTCGGAATTGCCCGACAATCCTCTCGGCGGGATTGCGCACCTCGGGCTGCGACGTGATGGATCGAACGCGTGCTGAGAACTTATCGCTCTTGTCGCGCAATCGGATTGCACATTGGCAAACACAGTGCAAAATGTTTGCCTGCTGCCAGGCATGCTGCGGGAATCATCGACTTCGTTGAGCTTAAGGTAAACATCTGACGATGCACCTACTGCTACTCTATCATCTTCTATCTACGTGACACACTCGTTCAAAACCAGGGTGCCTTCTGCTAGACTGGAGCAGGAATTGCCTTCCCATGTCGAGATGCCAGCAGTTTGCCGAGCTGCTCCGCGCAGGCTCAGACCATGGAGCGCATGAGCAAAGTCTTCAAGCCGAAGGTGTCGGGTGCGTGGCACCTGCACGAAGCGAGCAAGGAGATGCAACATCTTGCATACACGTAGACAAGCAGCCATGCCGAAAAGATACTGGGTTCCGTATTGTAGTCATAGTATAATCTACCACATTTTTTTTGGTGGGGGGGGGGGGGGTGGGTTCCTTATTATATACTGATAAAGTATGAAAGCAGGACCTCGACCTGGGCTCCTTCGTGGGCTTCTCCTCTGTCTCTTCACTGATCGGGCTCTCGCGCGGCACGAGCTACTCGGCTTCCAACGCCTACTTGGACGGCCTGGGCCTTTGGAGGCACAAAGCCACTTTGCCCTTCTCCAGCGTCCAATGGGGCCCCGTGGCGGAGGTCGGCATGGCCAGCAAGGACGGGCCTAAAGCTCTGTTTTTGTAGACAGCCTGGACCCCTCTGAGCTCACTTGTTTTTTAAAGCCCATGGTCAGTGTCGAGAGGATCATTCTGGGCAAGCCGACTCGGCATTGCGGCAGCTGCCGCCTGGCCACGTCCAAGCGGCCTTCCGGCTGGCCGTGGTGGGAAACGGCAACCGCGGATGGCCCTTGCCGTCCCTGTGTTTTGCACAGGCGCGTCATACTTCAGCATCCTGATATCCTGTGGTGGTGATTCTAGCATGTCGCAGCTTCTCAGGGCATTGTGAGACTTCGCATCAGGTGGAGTGGGGCCGTTTCCTGCGTGAGCTCGGGGCGGAGATTCCCATCCTCGAGGACTTTGCCGGCGAGGAGGAAGCGGCCATCGCGACCGGCACGGCCACCGCTGCCCTGCCGGCGGCTTTCCGTGGCCTGGGCCCCGAACAGCTCGAGGCAAAACTGGGTCAGGTCGTCCAGGGAATCGCTCTGGGAATTCTGGGCGTGGACGAGCTCACTGCGGATGCTCCGCTCATGGAGGCTGCTCCGCGGTCCCAAGTCCAACGAGCCCCGCAATATCTCCAACTCTGAGCCCTAAGCCCTAGAGTCTAATCCCTACTGGTACTAGCAACCGCCAGTACCATCTACACACCAATGAAGAGTGCTTGAGTCTCCTCAGAGAAGCGATGAGATCTCACTGCGAGGCCGGCCTGGATTCCTTGTCTTCGGTCGACTTCCGGAATTCCGTGGCGAAGGCAAGCTTGACTGCCCAGTTTTTTTGGGGCTTCGCGGTTCCGGTGGCGCATGGTCCACTTTTTGTGAGGTATCACATCGTAGTGCGGTTCCTGTTCGAGTCTGCAAGTTTGCATCTCCCACGCATGAAACGATGTTGAACGAAGAAAAGCTACTCCTTATTGCAGAACGTAGCATGCGGGGGCAGTCTCTGTCGGCTCTGTCCACACGTGTGTGAAGCTCATCTCTTGCCTGTCGAAGCAGCGTTTGAGCAGAGATGTGTCAGCTGCTTTCGTGCCATGCTCTCAGGAGCTGCCGGGCCTGAAGCTTCCGAGCACGCTGATGTTCGACCACCCCACTACGAAAGCCATCGCCGCCTTCGCTACAGAGCAGCTCGCGGCGGCAGCGGCGGCACCACCGCCCTCCCCCGTTACGGCTGCGCCGATGGAGTTGGAGATCTCCTTCCCAGGAGACTTCGATTCCCTGAGCTTCGAGGAGAAAGAGGAGTTCAAGGCCCAGGCGCTCAAGGAGATTTGCGAGAGGACCGGCTTGCGGCCGGAGGACTTGGAGGATTTGTGCTTGGAGCCCGGCTCCATCATCGTCAAGGCCAAGATCCGGGAGACCTCGGATCTTTCCGCAAACCGGGCCCAGGTCGCAGCCTTAGAGGGAAAGTCGAGGCTCTCGGCTTCACTTCTCTTCTGTGCTCGTCTCTGCCTAGGCTGTGGTGGCTGAGATGACCGAACGGCCCATGTCCGTGGAGCTGGAGGGTCACGAAACCTTCTTATCCCAAAGTGCCTCGAGCTCTTCTGCAGCCCCGGCACCAGTGAAGAAGGGGGCGGCCGCCGGTCTCCGCCTTCCGCGGTCGCTCCCAGCACCGGGCCCGGCGGCAGCGCGGTCTCCGGTCGCGGTGAACTCCGCAGCCTACCGCTTCCCTTTGGAGGGCACAGCACCGGACGAAATGTGGGATGTGCTGACAAAGAAGACAGATGGCGTGACTGAGATCCCACTGGAAAGATGGGACGTGGATGCCTACTACGACGAGGATGCAGAGGTACCGGGCATGATGACGGTGCGACATGGGGCTTTTGTCAAGGGAACCTCGGCTGAAAGTCTACGTCTTCGCGAAGAGGGCGAGCCAGTATTCTAGAAGTGCACATCCGTGGGTGGGTACGTATTCCCTTGCATGATCCTCTATGTAATTACCCGTGCACTTGTGCATGCCGGTCTGTCCGTGTCTGTGCGTCTGCGTCTGTCTGTCCGTCCATCCGGTCCGGTCTGATCCGATCTGTCTGGCCGCGCATGCCGCTTGAACCAGGGCCATTCTACAAGCGACGGTGTTGCGCATGCAGATAACAGCAACCACGCAACATCATAAGCACAGTATACACGTCATGTCGTGGACCTTACTATTAAGATATCCATCACTGAAACATCACTTTTCGCAGCTGATCTAAAGTGGATGCCTGACTGGGTGGGGATTTGTCCGGTGGGGGTTTGTCTCGCGTGGGGATTTGTCCGTCCTTTGCCATTGTCTCTGTCTCCGTCTTTCTCTCTCCCTCTCTGTCTAGTTCTCTCGCTCTATCGCCATCCATCGATCCCTGCTCTCTTTCTGCATCTGTCTCTGTCTCTCTCTCTCTCTCTCTCTCCCGTCCCGTTCGTGGGACCGCTTGCCAGAGATACATGGCACAAGCGTCTCTTAGCAGAGGAGCCGACCTCTTCGATGCCTCCTTCTTTGGCCTCAGCCCTGCTGAGTCCAAAGTCATGGATCCTCAGCAGCGGCTTCTGCTGGAAGTCATCTACCAGTCTTTCCACGTGGCTGGCATGCCTTTGAGCTCCCTTACAGGCATGGATGCCGGCATTACCGTCGGTCAGTGCAACAACGATTGGGGTCACATGGGCTTCAGCGGCTCCGCTGAAGCCTCGGAGAAGATCGGACCCTACACCGGCTTGGCCGTTTCCACCTCCATCTCCTCCAATCGTGTCTCCTACTTGCTCGGCTTGAAGGGTCCCAGTGCCACCGTCGACACCGCCTGCTCCTCCTCTTTGGTCGCCGTGGATGTCATCGTCTCGAACCTTCGACGTGGCAGATCCACAGTCGGGGCGGCGTCGGGAGTGAACCTCTGCCTCATTCCTGGTCCGTTCATTGCTTGTAGCAAGGCCCACATGCTGTCAGAGGACGGACGTTGCAAGACTTTCGATGCATCAGCTAATGGCTACGTTCGTGGAGAGGGCTGTGGCTCAGCCACACTCTCACTGCTCGACGGCGGAGTTGGCTTGAAGCCAGTGGTGGTGCTGAAGGGCTCAGCGGTAAATCAAGATGGCCGCAGCAGTAGCCAGACCGCCCCACACGGACCTTCGCAGCAGGCGGTGATCATGACTGCCCTAGCAGAGGCGGAATTGGATCCGCAGTCCGTCTCCTGCATGGAAACGCACGGGACAGGCACTGCCCTTGGAGATCCCATCGAGGTCGGAGCCCTGGGGAACACTCTTGGTGAGGGCCGCTCAGCCGACGTGCCACTGGCCCTCTGCGCAGTAAAGACGAATCTGGGCCCCTTGCCCGCAAGGAGGGTTTGACCGGACGAGGGGAGAGAGTACTGCGAGTCGGGGTTTCGGGTTTGTAAGACAGCCTTCGCGTTTCTGTTCGGGGGCTAACCCTAAACCCTAAACTCTAAACCCTGAACCGGTTTTCGATCCTGATTTTTTCTTCAAAAGCCGAGGCCACCTGGAAGGAGCTGCGGGCATGGCAGGGCTCTTGAAGGTGATGTGCATGCTTCCTCGGCAACGAGCTCCGCCGAACCTGCATTTCCAGAAGCTGAACCCCCACTGCGATTTGGAGGATTTCCCAACCAACATTCCGGTGGAGGGGCTTCTGGAGCTTGTCTCGGTCGCAGACCATGTATCGTCTGGCCTTTCCTCCTTTGGATTTGGAGGACCGGCTCCGGTTGTCTACCACAGGTGTTGCTCAAAACGGTTATTAGCTATTAGTATTCCCACCCTGCCTGGCAGGCACGAACACGCACGTGGTCTTGGAAGACGCCCGTGACATGGTGCCAGTGACCTCGGTGGAGGTGGCGCCGGTCTTCAAGCGCCAGTCCTTCACCTGGCAAGCGCGGCGGCATGCCCTGCTGTCGCGGACGCTACGCACGGCCGAGGGCACCCAGGTCTTTGCCCAGCCCTTCGCAGGGAAGCTGCTGCAGCTTGTGAGCCACGGCCTCAGCTGCTTCGCATTGCTTCGGCATCTTAAGGCCCGGCCTGGCATAGAAGCCCCACCCGAAGGTCACCACATCATCTTCGGAGAGATCGTGGTGCCCGGGGCAACCTATCTGGAAATGGTCCTGGCGGCGGGCGAGTTCCACCTGAACTGCAAGGACAAGCAATGGAACATCCGCAAGGCCCGCGGCCGGAAGAGAACATGTGCTGCAGCATATGGCATATTGTCATGCATTTGTATCCAGGTAGCATCAACAGTTGCAGTGACAGCGTTCTTTTCAACTTTTCTTTTGTTTCGATATGCTCATCACCGTTCTTGCTACTGTGACTTCTCCGTTTCCGTTCTTTTGATGTCTGCAGTCTTGCCAGAGTATTGTTGTTCCCGTGTTCATGCGAATGATAACAACAAGCCTGATGCCTACTATGGTTGTCTGTGCCCACTCGGATGAAGAGAAATGGCAGAATTGTCATATCTGCTCCGCATGACTGTGATCATGCTGATGACGATGGTAGTACTACTATCATTTCTCTTGAAATTCGTAGTCTCGCTTTTGGTGCAGTCCTCTTTGCAGCTTCGCGCCCTCCGCGCCGACGCGCCTGCGTCTGGCAGGTCGGCTTCACGGCTCCTCTTGTGCTGAAGCAAGGGGAAGAGCAAGGAAAACTGGCGCGCGACGTGGACTTGCCACCTCGGCTCGCATTCGGATTCGGGTCAGGTGTCATGTTTGTCACTGGTGAGAGCTTGTGCTGTCGTTGTGCAGTTGTTTCGCTTCAAGCGGAGAGTGGGGCCGCAGAAGTAGCCTACGGCCTACGGTACTGTAACGGAGCCAGGTATCTCGAGCTCTTCCCCGATCAGCACTGGTCAATGAGCAGCTACGATCCGAAAGAGCGGAAGAAGCTGGCGACCCATGCAGAGGGAGTGACTCGGTTCACAAGAAGTGTTGGCAGCTGTGCGGCTGTCTTGAAGTGGATGTGACCCTCCAGGATCTGGACTTGAGCTTCGTCCAGCCGGAGTATCCCTCCGTGGATCTGGAGGAGGCTTTGGATAATGTCTGGTTCTCACATGGGCGATTGTTTGATTAAGCATCCTAGACATCAGAACAGCTAAAAGAGCCGCAATTTTCAAGTAATCGGAACCCTGTCAGCAGCCTCACAGATCAACGTCCATGACCCTTGCGGAGTCGAGGTCAAAGTGTTGGTGCATGCAGCAACAGGGCTCAACCAGGTCTCGCAATCGCTCCAAGCATATGAGCCGTGACGGGGATGTGGGACTAGGGCTAGAGCCCCCAGGAAATGGAGCCAGGTGGGATCCACATTCTCAAGAACCCTTTCAGAGCGACGACGCGTTCCGGCTGTGTTGGGGCGACTTTTTGGCTTATAAGCGGGCCAGGTGCGCCAGCGCTGTGATGAGGAGGTGACCATCGAACGCCTGTATGCCCTGCGGCAAGCATGTCAAGAGGTGATTCAGGTGCTACTTGCACCCATATACCCAAACAAAACAATGTATCAGTGCCTCTGCATGAAGATATGCGTATATCATCTGTGCAAATCAAATACTTAAGCAAGAATCAATATCTTACATATATATATATACACATATATATATATATATATATACATTTGTGTGTGTGTGTGTGTGTAGGAATTTGGTCGAGCATACATATCCCTTCATACATACAACATCAACAATGAAAGCATTCCATAGCAAGAAAAGATTATGACACGGTAGCTTGTTGTGGTTGGTCAACACAAACTCGCAAGTAAGAAGGGTGGCAGCAGGAACGCACTGGTAAGATGCCACCCTAAACCCTAAACCCTAATCACTGTTAAGCTGCAGCTGCACTGGCGGACGGAAAAAGACGTTCAACAAAAAAAAACCTAATCATTTGGGCAGAGATAACCCTGAGCCGCAGATCCCGGCATCTCCAAGCCGGCAAGGATTTAGCAGACTTTAGTGGGAGCGCAATAACGGAGTTTCCGAAAATTGGGGTACCCTGTTTGGGGGCCCTTATAATAAGGATCCTACTATTTAGGGTACTATATGAGGGTCCCCTATTTTCGGAAACTCCCATAACGCCGCAACTTTATAGCGGAATGACGCAGTACATCGTAGTGCTGAAGCAAGCATCCATATCTTGCCATGCCTTTGTAGCATCATGTCGGCAAGGCACTGTGATAGCTCGGATAGTTTCAGCAAGAATCTTGCAAGATAATTCTGACACATATCGCTGTAATGATCTGTTGACTCAGGTTCCTTTCTCCAAGATCGGCTTGCCGCTGCAGCCTCGATTCAGGACGGTGCGGCACATCCTGCGTGGAGAGAGTGAGGTACGGTCCTATGTCGCCTGCGCTGGTGTTAGTGACCTGCAGCTGTGTCGACCCTTTACAGGTGCTTGCGCGGATAGCTGCCGAAGACGATGGCACAAACAGCGGTTACCTGTTCAATCCTGCAGTCATCGAGACCTTGCCGCACACCAGCTTGGGTACTTGACCTTCGCTGATACAGACAGAACTTCGGCCCAGAACCAGGGTTCTGAATTTTTCTGTACCTGCCAAGGACGGGACCTTCCAGGGCAGCATGGCTCTCATGCTCGAGCGCCACAGCACCAAGATCGATGGTCTTAACTCGCTGCGCATCCCGCTGATGGTTCAGACAGTCACCCACTACGCACAAGGACCCGATTGCAGCCGAGTGCCGGGCCTTGTCCCATTCGGGCGAAGTTTTTTCAGTTGTCTGCCACCTAACTGAGCCATGCAATCACAGGATCGCAGACGGATATTTTCGTTCATCACGAGCTCGTGGAGATCACCGACCGGGAGAACTGTGTCAACTCCAAGCTGTGCAAGCAGGAGCCTGGCATCTCACATGTCTCCATGGGGGTGGTTGTCAAAATTAAGGTCCCCTTTTGGGGTACCCTAAATATTAGGTGCCGTATCATAATAAGGACCCAAAAAGGAACCATAATTTTGACAACCACCCATGGGTTGTTTCAACGCGTCTCCGCATGTATTTCTCATACAGCAAGAACTCCCCCCCGCCGCGCACACCACGGTTCCACTATGTATAAGTATGGTTCTCCAAATGGTTCTACGTTGGTGGTGATTTGAGCTTACCTGCGCCGATCGAAAGGACGGAACGGCCATGCTGGGCTTTGAGACCTTGAGGCAGGAAAGGACCAATAGTCATTACATTTCATGGCTCGTTCAACACAAACCCATGAGTCAACAAGTGATGGTGTGCTCGAGGCAGCACTGGACTACCGTAGTCCCAGGATCTTTTCCATAGGCTTTTCTGTTTCGGCGAATACTGCGGTTCCTGTCTTTCAGGTTCCGAGAGGTTCGACCTGAGCACATCGTGACTCGATTGCATATTCGTTTACGGTTTCTTCTGCAGAGTTCTAAACCAAAACCCTCATCCCTAAACCCCCAACCCTGAATCCCTAAACCGTCAAGCCATGACCCTGATGTGTTGGCTTGTGTTGGGCACTTGAGGCCAAGATGCTGCAACAAGCAACGGATGATGTGGAAGAAGATATCTTGGAAGTGGACTGGGTGCCCATGGAGGGAGCCCTTGGAAAAGCCAAAGACGCGACCGGCAAGGGCATCTTATTCGTGGGTGCAGCACCCAGGGGCAAGGCATGAACTGCGAAAGTCTACACTCTTGGTTCAGTATGTCTCCTGTGGGAACAAGCAAAGTCGCGAAGATAGAACTGTGGGTGTCCCAACCCGATGTCGCAAAGCAGACGCCAAGCGTACTTGTATGTACTTGCATGTATTTGCATCTGCTTCCCAGGTGCCACGCCAGCCCTGCGCCAGGCTCTGGAGAAGCTCCTCCAGGTCTGGCAGACTGTCATGTCCAGCGAGTGCCGGAATTGGCCTGGGTTTAGAGTTTAGGGTTGTAGGGTTTTAGGGTTTAGGGTTTTAGGGTTTCAGGGTTTAGGGTTTTAGGGTATAGGGTTTAGGGTTTTAGGGTTTAGGGTTTAGGGTTAGGGTTTGTTGTGGGGAAGGCCAGCACCTTCACGGACACTGCGGGGGATCTCGCCTTCAAGGAAGGCACCAAAGCGGTCGTGCACCTCGGCGCCTTGCAGGACTCGTGGTCAGAAGAGGGGCGGGAAGCTGTAGTAAGCACCGTTTTGAGTTCTGCTGCTTGAGCATCAATTCTGGAAGGATGCGGCAGAGCTGGCCGTGCTGCAGGAAGCGGTAGCCTTGGCACAGGCCGAAAGCGGAATTTCCAGGCACACGGAAGCATGTAGCTGATCTGCAGGCAGCCATTGCCGTGATCGCAAAGGGTGAGGATGCTCCACAGATTGCCTACATGACTTACGGAACGCAGGCGCCAGCCGTGAAGACTCCTTATAAGGTCACTTTTAGCTGTCGGCCGTCCTGCCTGCATCAAAAAGTGCAATAACAGCAGCTGCAGGATGTGGCTACAAGCAGCGGGGCCGGCAGCTATCTTCATGCAGGCGCGCAGCAGTCCGGCAAGTGCAAATTGCATTTTCAAGCTGGGTTTGAGTCACCTCCTACAAGCAGTTTTTGTCGCAAGCGATGCAAACCCTCACGAAGCCTCGTCTTGAGAAGGTCTCTGGGGCCTGGCGCGCACGGTGCGTATGGAAGAGCGATCGATCAAGCTTCGCTGCTTCGACTTGGACTCGAGCCACGAGGACCCGGAATCCGCTGCCAAGGCGATTGTGGAGCAGCTGGGCAGCTTGACCGGCATCGGAACTGGTGGCGGTGAGACGGAGTTGGTCCTGAGAGAGGGCGGCACCCAGGTGTCCCGGCTCTCCCGCAGCCAGGTGCAGGTCCAGAAGCCCATGCGCTTGCAGATGTCCTCGCGAGGGAGTCTCTCGAACCTTCGACCCGTTCCCCAGGCCTCGCGACCACAGCCAGGCCCGGAGCAGGTCGAGGTGAGGATCCGCGCCGTGGGCTTGAACTTCCGAGATGTCCTGAGCCTCGGCCCGATTATAGAACAGTCCTTTAAGGGAGCTTTGACGGAGCTCCTTTTGCGAAGTTGCTGCCTGTATGTACGGTTCCATGTCATGTTTCACGGCCGTAGTCTTCAGCCTTTTTGTTTGCGGTTTGCTTGCGACGGTTCAGGAACGTCATGGGCATGTACCCGGGAGACCCTGGCAATCCAGGAGGAGACTGTGCTGGCACCGTGTGCTCCGTCGGGGGCGGCGAGAAGGAGGCAGCGGGCCTCCGACCGGGACACGACGTCTTCGGCATTGCATGGGGCTGCTTGCAGACCTACGCATGCACGGAAGCGTTGCTCTTGGCCCCCAAGCCCAAGAAGTGGTCCTTCGAGCAGATGGCTGCCTGGTCGGTGACCTTCGCCACCACCGAGGAGGCCTTCCAGGAGCTGGCGCCGGTCCAGAAGGGCGAGCGCGTGCTGATCCACGCGGCCACCGGCGGCGTGGGATTGGTGGCCGTGCAGTTCGCCCAGCGCGTGGGTGCCACCATCTTCGCCACAGCTGGAAGCCCGAACAAGGTGCAGCACCTGCGGGACATGGGTGTCAAGTACATCACAAGCAGCCGGGATGTTAAGAAGTTTGAAGAGGATATGAAGGCCTTCCTGAAGGAGGACGGTGGCGACGGTGTAGATGTGGTGCTCAACTCTTTGAGCCACGACGACTACATCCCCAAGTCTCTGAGCTTCCTCTCGAAGGGAGGGCGTTTCATGGAGATTGGCAAGAGGCTCATCTGGAGCCATGACCAAATGAGACGCGAACGTCCCGATGTGCAGTATGAGAAGATCGCCATGGATTGGGTCATGGAGTTCCAGCCGGAGCGCTACAACGTGCTCATGCGGCGGCTCGTGTCCCAAATTGAGCAAGGATGGTGGAAGGAGGTGCCTCTGACACTTTACGAGGGCTTGGCCTCCGGCATCGAGGCAATGCGCTACCTGCAGAGAGCTCAGCAGATAGGAAAGGTCGTGCTCACGCAGCCTTCCAGGATGGAGTGCTCTGAGGAAGGATCTTACGTGCTCTCTGGTGGTGTCGGTGCACTTGGCCTTGTGACAACCAAGATGATGGCCGAGGAAGGTGCCAAGTCCGTGGTGCTACTTTCCCGACGTGGCGTGGTAGGCGACGACCTGAAATCGATGTGGGACAAGCTGCAGGACTTTGACATTGAGCTCCTCGTCAAGCCTTGCGACATTGCCAGCCTGACTGATGTACAAGAACTGGTGACCAATCTCAAGAGCAGCTCAAGCTACACCGTAAGAGGTTTGATCCACTTGGCCGCCGTTTTGGACGATGCCACGCTCCCCAAGCTCACAAGGAAGCACTTGGAAAAGGCCTACGGGGCGAAGGTCTTCGGTGCCCGGCATCTCCACCTCTGCCTGCAGTCCAAGAAGCAGCTGGGTTCTTGTTAGTGGATACTATAGATCCCCATTATGGTAACTTAAGTTACCGTAGTAAGGATTTTTTGCTATAGACCCCTATTATGGTAAACTCAAGTTGGGTTACCACAGTAGGGATCTATAGTAATCCGTAATAACTATTGGTAACTTCATTTAACTCCCTAAACCCTAAAGCCTAAATCCTAAACCGTACCTAAACCCCTAAACCCTACTAGTACCCTTATAGACCCCTTTAAGGAAGCCTTGTAGACCCCTTTAAAAGGAGCCCCAAACCCGAATCCTCAACCCTGAAACCCAGGCAGGCCCTGGACTTCGCCGTCCTCTTCTCCTCGACCTCGGCTCTCCTGGGCTCCCCTGGCCAGGCAGGGCCTGCGCCCTGCTCCTGCTCCGACCGTTACTCCTTGTAGTAGTATGTAGTAGCAGCAGTAGTAGAAGAAGTAGTAGTAGTAGTTGCAGTAGAGGTACTATAACAACAACTACTACTACTGTTTCTCCTGCTACTACTGCTACTGCTACTACTACTAATAATAATCATAATACTGCTGCTGCTACTACTACTACTCCTACTACTACTACTGCCACGACTGCTACTCCTTGTACTGATACTGCTACTGCTGCTGCTGGTGCTGCTCGTGTGACTGTCGTTGTGACCACTGGTATGATCACGTTAGCTTGTATGTACTGCAATATGAACAATGTGAGTCTGTACACATACATACATGCATATGCACATGCACACATGCACATACGAGCCTTTACGACGTTTGATCTTGCCAGGGCAACTACTCTGCCGCCAACGCTGCGCTGGATGCTCAAGCGCGCTACTGGAAGGACCGACACTCGGGGTTTCCGGCCGACTGCTGAGCCCTCAACGTTGCAGGTCCTAATGCCATGATTGTTTAGGGTTTAGTGTGATC